CCTGCCTCAGCCTCCCTAAGTGCTGGGATTACAGGCGTGAGCCACGGTGTCTGGCCTCCATTCCATACTCTTTCCCAAAGGTCCCTCCAGTTGACCACAGTAGTAATTACTTCAGTACCCACCCTTTACTGTCTGCCTTCCCTTAGCTGTCTCACTGCTTCACTTCCTTATTCAGGCTTCTTGGGATCACTTTGCAAGCAAGCCAAATCCTTGTCAGGGGAAGCCCAACCTAGACAACCCCCTACATGAGGGGCTCTGGGCCTGTGTCAGCAACTTCACCATTTTTAGTGTTCTGTTATGTGAGTATTGGGTCTTTTTCATGAGGAAGAAAAGCCAGGTCTGCTCATGAAAAGAGGATTTATGATAACCGTGCCCAGAAACATAGGGGAAGCATGCGGACCTGAGGCTCCCTCTCTCTGTCACTCTCTCTCGTGACCCGTAAGCACTTTTCCCGTCAGCCTCTGCCTCTCTCTCCATGCCTGTCCTGCTCCCCTTTGCCTCCCAGGTAGTGAGGGACCTCCATCATCCCTGTGTCCAAACCCCAGAGGGAACCAGTCTGATTGCTGCACACAGGATGCAGCCCCCGCATGTTGGGTCCCCTGCCAGCCAACAGAATGAATGAGCCACTTTCTATCAGTGACCTCACCCCATAGGCCAGCCTGGCACTTTCGGGCAGGACTGTGTCAGGGAGCAGTCAGTGTTGGGAAGAGCCAGCCTGGAGCCAAAAGTCCAGTTCATGCCAGTAGGCTGTACCACATTCTATTACATAGATAAAGTCGCAGCTCCCTCCCAAGCCCTGGAGTACAAAGGGCTGATTTTTTTTTTTTTTTTTTTTTGAGATGGAGTGTTGCTCTGTCTCCCAGGCTAGAGTGCAGTGGTGCAATCTTGGCTCACTGCAGCCTCCGCCTCCGGGGTTCAAGCAATTCTCCTGCCTCAGCCTCCCTAGTAACTGGGATTACAGGCGCCCGCCACTGTGCCCTGCTAATTTTTGTATTTTTAGTAGAGACGGGGTTTCACCATGTTGGCCAGGCTGGTCTGGAACTCCTGAACTCATGATCTACCCGCCTCAGCCTCCCAAAATGCAAGGATTATAGATGTGAGCCTCAGTGAGATTCTTAACATAGGAAGTGACCAGCATCAGTTAAGATGTTTTCTTTTGTAAGTAAGAAAAAAACACAAAAACCAACTCAAACTAGCTTAAACTATGTAGGGAATTATCAGCTCATGTATGAAAACCCCTAAATAGTGGGGAGGGGGCGTCAGGCACTGTTTGGAGAGGGCACCGGCTCTGTTTCTCTGGAATCTTCTCAGCTTCTCAGTCCTCTATATGTCAACTTGGTCCTCTGGCTGGCTTCCCTCTTGGCGGCAAAATAGCCACAGCTGTTCCTGCCCTCATATCCACGCACGAGAGGACTTTCCTTCTTTCAACCACTGAACAAAATAAGTAGGCTTTACTCTAGTTAGCCAACTTAGATAGCATGCCTTCTCTTGAACCAATCACTTGCAAGCAGAAAGGTTTATGCTGATAGACCTGTGCCAGTCATGGCCCATCCTGGAGCTGAGGGTGGGGGTCAACCCCTCCCAAACATGGCTTCTGTGCAGTGGGGAAGGAAAGAATGTCTGCTAGAGAGGCAACCCCAATCTTCACTACAGAATCTCGCCTATTACCATTTTTTCCCTCTATCTAAGGAAACCTTTCCTTTCTTTAAAGAAGCATTTCTCGGAAGCTCAATGCATTAAAATAGATTTCAATGGAACTGCTTAGGCTAGGATGCTGTGACAGAGATCACAAGCTCACTCTTTTTTCCACTGCTCACTCCTTTGGACACCTGCTCATAACTTCATTTCAGGAGTTACAACTGTCAAGCACATATTGAAGCCCAGTGGACTAACTCAGCCCTTTAATTCTAAAATGGTGAAACCTATGTCCAGAGATGGAATGTGACTTGGCCAAGATCACACAGTCAGTAGGCAGCAGAGCCAGGACTAGAACTTGGATTTCTCAGCTTCTGGTCCAATGGCATCCTTACACAGAATCTCAGGGTCTCTCTTTCTTCCCATCTCTTTCAACAGTATGTGAAAGCCAGGTCGCCCAGGGCCAATCTACCCCCTCTCTATGCTCTTGAACTACTAACCATCTACGCCTGGGAAATGGGTACTGAGGAAGATGAGAATTTCATGTTGGATGAAGGCTTCACCACGGTGATGGACCTGCTCCTGGCATATGAAGACATCTGTATCTACTGGACCAAGTACTACACACTCCAGAATCCAGTAATCGAGGATTGTGTCAGAAAACAGCTCAAAAAAGAGAGGTACTGGACCACTGTTTGCCCACCAAATCTCAGAGGAAAAGAAAGAGGAGCTGATGAAATATAGCATAGAGTTTTATGGACTGGCTGTAGTAAGCAGTAAGGTTGCCACCAGTGTTAAGCATTGACATCTCACGCCAACGCAGCTGGCATCTCAAGTTGGTGACTTATCAAAGTCACCGGGGGGGCCATGGAGTGGGTATAAGCCTGTTCCTTGTTTCCTAAGCCACCCTCCACCTTAGCTCGGCCCTCTTGCTCTCCGCAGACCATTTCAGGGCTTTGTAGCAGCTAGCATGAGAAAATGGAAAGAATCTTGGAGACTTAGGTTTAAATCCCAGCTCAGCCATTCTCCCACCGCTGTGAGCCTCAATCCCTTATCCATAAGGCAGGAGTAAACTGGTACCTACAATACAGTATCGATGCAAGGGTTGGAGAAAATCGATGTTAAGGATCCACCATACGGGGCATCTGGCAGATGCTGTGTAAATGCTCATACTGGAGCGTGTGCTGTCCGCGTCCCATTCATATCCCCTTGGCCTTTACTGCTCCGGGGAAGGTTGGCTTCACTTCCAACTGCCGGCACCTGCATCCCTTCGCCTGAGCTTTCCCCCCACCAGCAGACCCACCCTGAAAGCAGCCCTCCACCAGATCTGGTAGGAGTTGGTGGATAAATACCACAGCTCCCTCGCCCCAAAGATGGAAGGAATCCAGGTCTCATTCCGCACTCCTTTTTTTTTTTGAGACAGAGTCTCCTCTGTCACCCAGGCTGCAGTGCAGTGGTGCAGTCTCGGCTCACTGCAAACTCCGCCTCCTGGGTTCCAGCGGTTCCCCTGCCTCAGGCTTCCGAGTGCTGGGATTACAGGCACCCACCACCACATCTGGCTAATTTTTGTATTTTTGTAGAGACGGGGCTTTGCCATGTTGGCCAGGCTGGTCTTGAACTCCTGACCTTAGGTGGTGTACCTGCCTCAGCCTCCCTAAGTGCTGGGATTACAGGCGTGAGCCACGGTGTCTGGCCCCCATTCCATACTCTTTCCCAAAGGTCCCTCCAGTTGACCACAGTAGTAATTACTTCAGTACCCACCCTTTACTGTCTGCCTTCCCTTAGCTGTCTCACTGCTTCACTTCCTTATTCAGGCTTCTTGGGATCACTTTGCAAGCAAGCCAAATCCTTGTCAGGGGAAGCCCAACCTAGACAACCCCCTACATGAGGGGCTCTGGGCCTGTGTCAGCAACTTCACCATTTTTAGTGTTCTGTTATGTGAGTATTGGGTCTTTTTCATGAGGAAGAAAAGCCAGGTCTGCTCATGAAAAGAGGATTTATGATAACCGTGCCCAGAAACATAGGGGAAGCATGCGGACCTGAGGCTCCCTCTCTCTGTCACTCTCTCTCGTGACCCGTAAGCACTTTTCCCGTCAGCCTCTGCCTCTCTCTCCATGCCTGTCCTGCTCCCCTTTGCCTCCCAGGTAGTGAGGGACCTCCATCATCCCTGTGTCCAAACCCCAGAGGGAACCAGTCTGATTGCTGCACACAGGATGCAGCCCCCGCATGTTGGGTCCCCTGCCAGCCAACAGAATGAATGAGCCACTTTCTATCAGTGACCTCACCCCATAGGCCAGCCTGGCACTTTCGGGCAGGACTGTGTCAGGGAGCAGTCAGTGTTGGGAAGAGCCAGCCTGGAGCCAAAAGTCCAGTTCATGCCAGTAGGCTGTACCACATTCTATTACATAGATAAAGTCGCAGCTCCCTCCCAAGCCCTGGAGTACAAAGGGCTGATTTTTTTTTTTTTTTTTTTTT